ATTCTATATTCAAATGGAACAGCTTTGCCTTCAGAAATTGTGGGAGCTTCATCCCTGGAGGCTTTCAAGAAGAGATTGGACGGCCACCTGTCAGAAATGGTGTAGGGTCTCCTGCTTGGGTGCGGGGTTGAACTAGATGACCTACAAGGTCCCTTCCAACTCTGGTATTCTATATTCAGTGGAACAGCTTTGCCTTCAGAAATTGTGGGAGCTTCATCCCTGGAGGCTTTCAAGAAGAGATTGGACGGCCACCTGTCAGAAATGGTGTGCTTTTTGGAGGGGGAGGGGGGTTAGACTAGATGACCTGCAAGGTCCCTTCCACCTCTTGTTTCTCTAAAATCTCAATGGCCTTCCCGGGGGCTGCGGCGGGGCAGAGCAGAGCCCGCCCTGGGCGGAGCGAGGCGGGTCAGCCGCGGCGGGGCTAAGCGGAGCAAAGGAGCCGGGAGCAGCGGCCCTGCGAGAGATGCTGGAGGTGGCGGTGAGCGCGGTGAGGCTGCGGGCGCCTTCGCCCCGGCGGCGGCAGCAGCAGCAGCGGAGCCCCGGCAAGGCTCACACGGTGCGTCCCAGACGGGCGGCGGGGGGAAAGGAAGGCAAGGTTGGCCGAGCCCGCTGCTCCTTCTCCGGGGCTCTCTCGGGCTGGCGTCGTCGGCGTCACCGGCCGTGCCTGGGAAGGGCGAGCTCGGACGTCGTGGGAAAGGGGCTCCGTTGTCCCGGGTTGGGCTGGGCCGGAGTTCAACAGGGAGAGCCAAGGAGAGAGAAAGCAGCAGAGGCTGCCGCCTTGGAAGCCTTCCCTTCCCTTGCGCTGGGTGGGGGGAGAGAAGGGAAAGAAATGCAGGGATTGCGTAACGTCTGAACGGTGCCTGGGGGCCCCCAAATCCTACTCCTGTGCAACCCAGTCCCCGCAAAAGCAGCCTTTTTAAAGGCAAAGGTATGTTTTAGGAATGAGGTTTTTGCAAACCGGGTTTTCTTCCTCCTCCTCGGCCTGACTTAATTCCTGGCTGCCTTTCTGGCGGTGTGTGAAAAGCCTGCAATTATTGCCCTGGGTGGTCCTGGGTGTGAAGAAGGTGCCGTGCAATGCCCAGACATGATCCCAGGTGTGGGGGATTGGGGCCCCTCCTGCTTAAACCAGGGTGAAAGGACAGGGGAGGGGAGGGGGGAGCTTTTTTTGGGGGGGGGGAGGAAAGGTTTGGAAGAAGGCAAACTTCTTCCTGGCACACGGACACTGGCGCACTGTTTGTGCCATTCAGCCGGGGATGGGCCTCTCCCTTGGAATCAATAAGCTGCCATTCAGGCCTGCTTTTTTTTTTTTTTTTTAATTTATTTATTTATTTTAGCTCTTTCTGGAAAGGCTGGCTAGGAAAGCACCTGCTCCAGGGGAGAACAGCTGGTCCTTTGTGCCACTGGCAGGGAGAATTGGTCTGAAATGCCTCTGGAAACCCAAGAATCCAACCCACATACACACACACACACACACACACACACACACACACACACAAAAACTCCCTGGGCCTGTGTGAGTCATCTTCCTGCCTCCGGTCCAGCAAAGGATTAAAGTAGACCCTCCGTGGCCTGGAGACATTTGAATGACTCCTTGTTTCTTGCTTGAATTCAGGATATTGAGTGAATGCAAAAACTTTCTCCGCCAGGTTTTGTTCCTTTTTAAAAAGTTCCTTTTTAAGCGAGAGGAGAGGCCAGTGGTTAAGGTTTGCAGGAACCTGTTTTAATTTTTCTCTGAGGTAAACTTGTTGCATTGGAGCGGTGCCCTTCGGTAAACAGCACCACATCTAGGAAGGAGAAGATTTAATTTAATTTATTTGATTTGTCATTTTCATACAAGATAATAAGTATAAGTATATACATAGTTATGAATACATGAAATGGGTACATATAAGAAAAATAAAAGAAACAATAGGACAGGGACGGTAGGCATGTTGGTGCGCTTATGCATGCCCCCTAAGATAAAGAAGATAAGTTTACGACTTTACTTTATGGTCATTGCACCTCGCACAACGAAATTAAATGCCGTCTTCGGTGTACATTATTACTATTAAAATAAAACACACACACACACACACCTCCTTCACGTTTTGTACGATTGAATTGAAAGCCCCTGATATTGCATTAATATTGCACTATACCAAGGGTCCCCAACCGTGGCAACTTTAAGACTTGTGGACTTCCAACTCCCAGAATTCCTCCTCCAGTCATGTTAGCTAAGGAATTCTGGGAGTTGAAGTCCACAAGTCTTAAGGTTGCCAAGTTT